TCATTCTATTATAGTTAGCTTATAGTGTTTTTTGGAAAAATATATATTTACGTATTATTTTTATCGACTTGCTTAATATAGATTGATTTTTAAATGTCAAGGATAATTGGAATTGTTTGGATTTTTTTTTTTTTTTTTACGATCGAAATTTATTTACCATCTTCTTTGTGCAGTTTATCATGTTTTCATTCTATTATAGTTAGCTTACAATGTTGAAAAAATATATATTTATGTATTATTCTTATTGATTTGCTTAATATAGACTGATTTTTAAATGTCAAGAACAAATTTCAAAAATATAGGTCGTCTTCCTAACTGACTGGATGGTAAGCTATTTCAACACAATAGTGTAGTTGCGAATTTTAGAGTTTTAACACCCAAAACGGGAATAGATTTTTTTTGTTACCATATTACAGATAATACATAATTATTCACTTACCAATGTTAATTAATTAAATTTAAAGAAATATTGGTTTAATATTAAACTTTCCTTAAATTTATTCATATCAAATAAATATTGTATGCTATAATTATGCTCCTGTTTGATAGAGCTTAAAACTCAGATTTTAATTTAAGTCAAAATCAGTAATTATTTTTAAACAGACATTTTATGGGATCCACAACTTTTCAATCACACATTTCATCAACTTTTATCAAAATTTTCTAAAAATTCGATTTTAATCCCTATCAAACAAGGGTTATATACTCACCGTGTTTACTTATTGATTTATAGGTAAGTTTTAATCCGAATCTTGTACATTGCTTTACACAAGTAAATGAAGAAATCAAGAAACGGATTAACTGTTTTGGAAAAAAATCTTACACCCCGTCCCAACCTGCTGTACAAAGGACTACTAGATTTAAGTAAATTCGAATATACTTTTTGCTTCACTGATTATATTCAAAGCAAACTGTTATTTTTCAATAGTATTTGAAGAAATAAGTAAATTCGAATGTACTTTTTGCTTCACTGATTATATTCAAAGCAAACTGTTATTTTTCAATAGTATTTGAAGAAAACAAACAGGAGTGTGAATGTTCAATCATATTCAAAGATCAAGTTGCGAGGCATGAGTTAAGAATGATGATTCTTAATTCAAGTCGGGGTTGCGACCGGTTCAATATTGAAGTGACGCCAAGTACAAGATCGAAGGGTTTGATTCCACTTCTACAACAAGTTAAAAGAAGAAGAAAATAAGTGAGTTGTTCTCGGATTTCTTTTGATTGCTATTTATTAATTTTGCAAAATTTAAAAATTGGAATTATTGTACTTTTGACCGTTTAATTTAGTATATTGTTTCACCCGTGGCATGAGGTCCGTGAATATTTTCCTTTGAGATGTACCACGTTATATTCGGTGTTCTTGTTTTAATATGTTAATTAATTTCCACAATTAATTAAAACTTTTGGAATACAGATAAAATCTGCACTTTGCAATTAGAACAGTTGAAAAACTGGTTATAAAATATTCTGATTGTCGCCGTCCGCTCTTCAAATAACATAATTAAAACATTTTTTTAGATTTTAGAATTTACAGTGTTCACATCGGTCGCTTATCATATTTTGATGGGTGAAATGTTTTCTAGGTTCATTGGCAAATCATGAATTATTATTATTATTAGTTTTTATTTTGCTGAAATTGATAAAGAAGTGTTCGTTTATAATTTTATTGTCAAATTAGGCAATGATGGGGTAAATTTATAGTCGTGCCTCAAATTTTGTCCAATTTTATACTTGTGATTTCTTGTCATGTCAATTAATTAATGAGTAAATTTAAGACGTCTCAATATCTGAATTAAGTCGGTTATCCACCAATAGACTCGTCAATGTTGAACATAAGATAAATTTAAGATTTTTTTTTTCGTATATAATGTAGTGAGATGATTCAACTGAAATAATAATTAATTTTTAGATGAAAATTAAATAGTAATTGAATTTTCGGAGAATTAAAAAAATGGTATAAAATGTTACATAATGTAATACAAAAGTTGTAATTTGTTATTTTCAATTATAGATATTTTGATCTATTTGACTATTTTTAATGAAAGTTTTGTAATTTTTTCAGCAAAATTTATTATTTATAATCATAATGTAAAATTAAGTAGGTAAAGTATAAATATTAAAAATATATTGTGTAAAGTATAAACACACCCTAAATAGATTGCGTATTTCGTAAATTTTCCTAATATCTATTTAAATATTTAGCTCATATTTGACTCTTGAAACTAATTTTCAATCGCACATCATTTCAATAAAAATAATTTACATGTAAAATCATAAATTTTTCACTTTTTTTTTTCAAAAAATTTACTATTACAAAATCCATTATCCTAAAAAATGAGGCTCAAACAAATTTTTTAGAGGTTCACCCATAATATTATTATCAAGATAAGCTCGACTGTATGTATATTTGCACCATCAACATACGACTTACTTTATAAATTTCCCTAATATCTATTCAAATGTAGAGTGGTCAACCTATAATTTTAAGGGAAGATTACATATTCAAAAGTATAAATTTAGTCTATTTCAAAAAAAAGAACACAAGTTTAAAGTTACAAAAATTAGATTTTTTAAAAATTTTTTTAAATTTTTATTTATGAAATAATAAATTATTAAATTAATTTGTTATTAAATATTTAATTATAATATAATATAATTAACCCATCCCACCTTCACCACCCCTACCGCTCCGGCGACAGTTTCGATCACCGCCCTACTCCGGC